GCGCTCCTTGGTGGGAAACTCAACCCAGCTAGAGTGCCCCCTTAGTTCCCCAACCGGGCCTCTCCCCTGCCATAGATCAGGTGCAGGCCGGTGGTTGTTCTGTCTCAGCTTGGCAGAGCCCCTCACTTGTCCTTGCTCCTTAGATGCTGTGGCTTAGTGCCTCTGCCTCACACAGATCAGTATATGCAAGGACCTACATGGCATGAGCTGTGCTCCAACCTGATTTCTGTTGTTTCTTGTGAGTTAAGATTTGTTCAGCCCTGCCCATTCTGCCCCCTTCCAAGGGCAGCCCGGCCCACCCCACATCCTGTTTAAGTATGCACATTTGGGTGCTGCTGCCTTGACCTACCCTGACTGTTACGGGTTCCTTTACCCATAACTGATGGCAGGTGGCATGGTCACACCTAGCTTAGACCATTGCAACCCCAGCTTGTGAGCTAACCAGGGGGACTTGTATTCCAGAGGGTTGGGCCCACACAACCCCACAGTCTACCCCCAGACCAAGTTCTCTCGTGTGCTGGATAGTGTCTTGATCCTGCCAAATGTGACCACTCTGCAACTCCACCACCCAGTCGGGTAATGGTACCTAACACTGCCAAAGAGGCCCCCATCCATAGCTTTGGTGTGGGCTAGTGTGTGGCGATCAGTGATGTTTTATGCTAATAGCCCATCTCTGTATTCCTAATTGAGCTGGTGAATCTGTCTAACTCAAATTATCTTCTGGATATGTCCCTCCAAACCACCAGGTCTTGGTTCCCACGAATGCCTGAATCTTTCATGACCCTGTCACTGAGAATCACCCACGCTCAAACTGGCCTTAGTCATGAGTGTCCCCAGGCAGCAACTACATATCTTAAAAACTCCAGAGTTTGCCACTGGGCGGCCACCAGGCAAAGCCTGGCACCACTTGGTGCACTGCCTGCCCTGGGGGAGGCCGAAGACTCATTCACTGCCTTGCAGCAGTGTCTTTGGCGTGAGTCCCCAACATTGGGTCCAAAACCCCATAGTCACCACACTGCAGGGAGCGGCAAATCCCCCCAACCCCGAACCCAGGTAGACTTCTATAACTGTTTTAACAAAATCAGCAGTTGGTATTCACATTGCTAACACTGTAAATAATATCCATTGTGGAGCCCAATGGTATATTTTGTTTCTTGAACCACCCTTGTTTGTTGTGAAGTATTATATTTAAACAGTGTAATTAGCTTATTATGCACACAAATTTATTTAATTTCTGAAACATCAGTTGTTAAATATTTGTAAATATATCCTTTTAAATTGTCAACATATTATAGCTTTAGAAACTGCCCTTCAGGCCTCACAGTGGATAATTTTTAAATCACCAGCGCCACCTGCTGTCTATGATGAGGTAGAAGGACAGAACCCCAAGTAACTGTTGATTTTAAACTGGAAAATGTCCTTTCTGTGGCCTCCCAATTGAGAATGATTTTCTTGAGAAACAAGTAAGATCTTTGTTATAAGAATAGAGAACAGAGAATAACACGATTAAATAAAACATCCTCTTTCCCTTATCCTATCATCCTCTTATTTTCTGTGTTTTTCTGGAAGAGCTCTGCTTTTAGCTTTGTTTTCCTTAGAAGCCTGTGTCTGATACACCAAAGGAAGACTGAAATGTAGGATGCCTATTTTTAAGTTACATTTTTATTGAGGTATAATTGACGTGTGATAAATTGCGCACATTTATAAGTGTCTCTTTGCGTGGGATCTGATGTGTGCCCATGACGTCACTCCACACTCAGGACAGTGGTCTTGTCTGCCCCTCCCAGCAATTTCCTTATGCTCCCCTTCTCCTCATCTCCAAGCAGGCATTGACATTATTTTTCCTCCTTATGTATTGTTGTGCACTTTCTGTAATTTTATGTAGATGGCAAAGGGGAGCAAACAGTATTTATGCTTTGGGTGGGTGTGGGTTCTTTCACTTTTATTATTATTGTGAGATCCATCCATGTTTTCTGTATATGAGGAGTTTGTTCTGTTTCGTTGCAATCTGTTCTATGAATTTGCCACAATTGGTGTATCCTTCACTTGTTGAGTTATTCTCAGTTGTTAGTTATTACAGATAAAACTGTTATGAACATGTGTGTTCAACTTTGTGTGTTAATATATATTATTTATATATGTTTATATATTATATCATATCATATCTAGCTTGCATGACTAGTGTATGCTTCTGCTGAAAGAGATTGCCAAGCTTTTAACAAAGAGGTTATATCATCTTACATCCAACAGCATATTAAGAAAATTCGTATCATGGCAACATTTGGTGGTGTTGGTACCTTCCTCTCTCTAAAGATTTCTTTATTTTTATTGGAAAGCCAAATTTACAGAGAGCAGGAGAGAAAGAAAGATCTTCCATCTACTGTTTCACGCCCCAGGTGGCCACAACAGCTGGTGCTGAGCTGATCTGAAGCTAGGAGCCAGGAGTTCTTTTTTTTTTTTTTAAGATTTGTTTATTTTCTTTTTGGAAAATCAAATATACACAGAGGAGAAATGATAGCCTCGCTTCCCATGCAGCTCCCTGCCTGTGGCCTGGGAAAGCAGTCGAGGACGGCCCAAAGCCACGGGACCCTGCACCCGCATGGGAGACCTGGAAGAGGCTCCTGGCTTTGGATCGGTGCAGCACCTGCCATTGTGGCCACTTGGGGAGTGAATCAATGGTCAAAAGATCTTCCTCTCTGTCTCTCCTCCTCTCTGTATATCTGACTTTCTAATAAAAATAAAATAAATCTTTTTAAAAAAGAAAAATTGCTACATCTAGGGAATAAAGCTACTCTTTTGAGTTCAGGGAACCAATTAAAAGAACAATTCTTCAAAAGGGGTGATTTAAAATGCCAGACATTGGGGACTAGCACTATGGCTCAGTGACTAACCCCTCACTTGGAGAGTGACCTCTAGGGGAGTGAACGTGAGTGACCCGCAAGAAACTCCTGGCTCCTGGCTCCGGCCGTTGTGGCCACTTGGGAATGAGCCAGCAGACAAAACATCTTTCTGTCTCTCCTTCTCCCTGTAAATCTGCCTTTCCAATTAAAATAAAAGCCAGTTATCTTTAAGAGTAACCTGGCTCTGATACTTCTTTAGTTTTCTTCCTTAGAACAGGTTACCTAGATTAGCCACAGGTTGTTTCTGTTGAGTGGGTGCAGAGCAAGGAACAGGGTTGAAAATCTGCAGGAGAAAAGACAAATGGGAGACCAGATAAGACACCTGGTCTGGAAGGCATGGGTCTGTGTGTGCGTGCATGTGTGCAAGGAGGGTATGTATGGTCAGGTGGGTGGGACTGAGAAAAGAGGGTGCAAATAACAGTGAACGTCTGATTAGCTCTTGGAGAGTGGGACCTCAAGGACAGAGGTCTCAAAGATAGCCTCTCAAGGGAGAGGCTGAGCTCAGAAACCAGGGGAAGATACTAAATAAAAACATTACTCCTCTGGGTTGCTGTGTCAGCTCAGTTGGCTAATCCTCCACCTACTAGTGCCAGAATCCCAGATGGACACCGATTTGTGTCCCAGCTGCCCTGCTTCCCATTCAGCTCCCTGCTTATGCCCTGGGAAGGCAGCAGAAGATGGCTCAAACCCTTGGGACCCCATACATGCATGGAAGACCCAGCAGAAGCTCCTGGCTTTTGGCTTCAGATTGGCTCCAGCCATTGCTGCCATTTGGGGAGTGAATCAGTGGTTGGAAGGTTTTTCTCCCTGCCTCACCTCTCTGTAAAACTGCCTTCCAAAATAAAAACAGAATAATATCCCTCTTTCCTTAATTTGCTCAGCACAGTGCTGCTGCTTCTGAACACCCTTCTTTGACAAGCTGCGTTGCTTCAAGTCTGAGCTTTTCATTCCTTTCCCAGAGCCTGAATTTGGCTTCATATGAGAAGAGAGTAGCTTTTGTGGTGGCAACAACTGCCTTCCCTATCCTTCTCTGCTCAGCTCTACAACCAAAATTAATTTAGTGTCATAGTTAAGAATTGAGTTTCTGGATCTAGCGCTTACTAACTGTGTGACTGGGAAAGTCAACCTTTCTGTATGTGCTTCAGTTGTCCCCTAATGTACAACTAGAGATAAGGACCTTCCTACAGTTATTGTTTTAAAAGATTTATTTATTTTTATTGCAAAGTCAGACACGCAGAGAGGAGGAGAGACAGAGAGGAAGATCTTCCATCTGATGATTCACTCCCCAAGTGACCACAATGGCCGGAGCTGAGCTGATCTAAAGCCAGGAGCCAGAAGCTTCTTCCCAGTCTCCCACGTGGGTGCAGGGTCCCAAAGCTTTGGGCCATCCTCAACTGCTATCCCAGGCCACAAGCAGGGAGCTGGATGAGAAGCGGGGCCTCTGGAATATGAACTGGTGCCCATATGAGATCCTAGGCAAGGACTTAAGCCACTAAGCCATCACACCAGGCCCAAGCAACCACTTTTGAGACCAGAATATCGGTCATAGTCTTGGCTGCTCTATCAGATTCAGCTGCCTGTTAATGTGCCTGGGAAGGCAGTGGATGATGGACTAGGTACTTGGGCCACTGCCACCCATGTGAGTGAATTAGCTCGAGTTCCTGGCTTCTGACTTCTGGCTTGGTCCAGACCTAGCTGTTGCAGTCATTTGCAGGCGTGAACCATCAGATGTGAGACATCGCTGTCTCTAAAATAATCTCAACCCTCAAGTCTTCATGGGTCATTGGGACCCTATCACCTCCACACTGGTAGAAGTAATGTTGGGATTAGATGGATTGAAACCATATTTGCTATAAAATGGGATTGGAAAGGCTGGTGAAGAAGTCCTGCTGAGGTCTAACATCCAGAAATCTTGCCAAAATCCTTACTATGTGTGCCTTTTCACCCTGGACTGTAGCCACATTTGACCCTGGATAAACGCATTGCTTCATGTGTCTCTAATCCACAGTTCTTTATTTCCTTCAGCAGTTCTTTATTTGCTTTCATGCCAATGTCTATCCCCAAACAATTTGCAAACCAATCATGGAATTGCTGGCCTACTTACTGGAAGCAAAGCCACAGAAGAGAGAGCCCAGAAAGGAGTGAGGCTAAGAGGGTTGCGGAGGAGATAGGGACCCCAGCATCTGAGAGGAAGACATGCAGCTTTTCCAAGTCTGGCAGGAAGGCCCGGGCGTCCTCCAGAGCCGCCTGAGCCGCCACCGTGAAGTTGGGGTCACCAGAGATCAAAACGTCAAAGACACAGGAATGGAAGTAAGCGTCTTCCACCGGAAGCCCCTCCTTGCACAGCTGTCGGGCAGTGTCTATGCTGACAGCTCCCCTGCGGCTGCGCTCTGAGCGGGAGAGTCGCTGGCTTGGAGGGCACCCTCCAACACAGAGCTGCAGGTCCTGCTCGGCTGAGAAGGCCCTGGCCACCTCCTCCGCCACCCTGATGGAGAAGGAGAGCTGCCCAGCCGTCTGCCGGATGATGATAGTTGTGCCGATGTAGGCGGCTCGGATCTCCACGTGGCTCCCAGGGTTGTCAGTTCGAATGGACAGACTTGAGCCCCCAGGCCGGTCACCTCCGTTGATGGAACCGTCTTCAAAGGCTGCAGGAAGATTGTCCACCTCAGCCTGGTAGACCTTCTGATCAATGCATTCTTGCATGTTCTTAAAAATTATGGTGAGCTGTGATGAGGGTAAGACAGAAAATGGTTCATGTGGGGGTCCCTAATCAGGCCTCCTACTCCCACACATCAGTCAGGACTCCCTCAATGTGCCGTGCCTTCTCCCACTGATGCCCCAATAGTGCTTCGTTCCCACTCAACCTTTCTTTCTGGTCTCAATCTCCTAAGGAGAAGGATGTTTCCCTTCTGTAAAACTCAGCTCTGCTGCCCCTGGTTTTTTCCTTAATAATTTTCTGCATTTGAGGGATGTTCCAGTGAAGGAAAAGTGACTCACAGGAGCAAGACTTTGGTAGTGGGGTGGAGGGGGCAGATGTGGGAGTTGGAATTGGGTGCATTGCTGGGGGCCTGGGGCGGGGAGGGTTGGGGAAGCAGCAAGAGTAACCCTGAAAAGCAGGGTGAAGGAAAATTGCGACCCTGACCTTCCGGGTGGTGGTGGCGTTGGCCCCCTTTGCCACGGGGGAGCTGGTGGCCTGGACAAAAAGGAAGTCGTTATCCAGCAGGGGCCAAGCTCCTTGGACACGGCACGTGTGAAAGTGGTGGTGGAAGCTGCGTACGTGGGGGTCCCCGAAGGAGGCGCAATGCAAGAAGCCCGGGGCACGACCGTGCAGCCGGGAAAACCGGCTTTCGTAGTCACAGGGGTCTGGGATTAGGGGACCAGAACCCGGGTCTGCAAGGGCGGGGCCCCGGGGCGGAGGAGGAGCCGTGGGGCCCTGGCGGGAGCAGTTGTGCTGGATCATGAGGTCTTCGATGCCGTGCACCGCCGAGTGGAAGGCAAGATCCCCGCGGCAGGTGCGAGCGGTGCGCCGAGTGCAGAGCGCGTAGGAGCGCAGCGCCCGGCAGAGGCCACCGGAACCGGCTCCTGCTGCTCGACCACCACCGCCTCCTCCTCGAAGCCCTCCAGGAGAACCCCCGCTTCTAAGGCTCAGGGTGGATGATACATACTCAGCATTGCAGCGGAGGATCTTGCATTGGGATTGAGCTAAGGACAGAAGGGAGAACATTGTGAACTGGCCCCCGTATTTCCCCGCTCCAACCACAATCTATCTGCTCATAACTTTGAGATCTACTCCAGAGATTCCAGCCGTTCCTAAACCTGGCCGAGCCTCGTCTTTCCCCGTTTGCTCCCTGGCCCTGTACCCCCTCGGTCTTATGAAAGTGTGTGATCCCTTCTCCCTGTCCGCCAAGCTCTTCCCAGAGATCCTTTTCCAAATCCAGCTGGCACTTTAAGTGTCCCCTAGACCAATGCGAGCCTTGCCTTACTCAGGCTCTCATGCACCCCTTCCTACACAGCAGCCAGCCTAACCTCCTGGCTTCCCCAACACCCTTCCCTGGCCCCTCCTTACCATGTCCACAGAGGAGCAGCAGGAGAGTGAGTATGCTTAGAGTTGGGGGACTGCCATGGGGGGACTGGGGGCTAGGGGACTGTCCTGGATGCCCCATACCTATCCAGTCAAGTCCCCCCAGGCACAGGTTCTTTCCAGCTGACGACCCTCCTACCTAGTGGATTTTGACCAGACGTCCTGTGAGTGACTGAAAAAAGAGATTTGGCTGGGCATGGAGAAAGAGAAGAGTTGCAGATTGGCCAGGATGATGCGAGGAGAATCTGGGGAGATCAAGAAAAGGGTGAGCAGCCTGGGGTTTGGGGAGAATGGGGCTTCCCAAACTCTAAGTGGGACGGGGTGCCCAGCTGCAGGCCACGTACAGGTCCCTTGTGCAATACCCTTTGGTGGGGGTGGAGGGAGGGTTGAGTGACCTCGCTGGGGCAGAGTCCAGGCGTTGCCCCATCTAGAGCTACCAAACAGCGGTTCTGTCAGAAGTGGAGGAACTGTGGAGGTGCATCAGAGCTCACTCTTCCCGAGAGTTTCCAAGTACATTTCCATCTGGAAACACTTGAGAAACCCCTTCTTATTCCTCTCTCCCCGTCAGGAGAGGCCACCCTCCAGGGGCTGTGCCATCCTCTAGATGTTTCTTCTTCTTCTTCTTCTTTTTCTTTTTTTTGTGTCAGAAGAACACAAGAAGGGGCAAAATGGGTTGTTCTTGCCTTCTAGAACCTCAATATTCAAGTGAGAAGGGGCCCAATCTCTCACCTACTCTAAGCAGCTGCAGTTAGCAGTAAGGAGGTACACATCAGGAATGCCAATCAATATTTGACTTTTTTGAAGTCAACACTTGTATTTTTCCCACTTAACTGGAGACCTACTCTTAATCTTCCCTGGAAAATACTAAATTATCAGTCTTTTAGTCTTTTACTAAAAATAGGGGAGGGGTCAGCTCTTATTGGACCAAACTCCCATCTTTCAGACTAAGGATGTGATTGGGGGAAACTGCAGGAGTGAGAGTCAGTCAGAGGGACTGGTGTTTGGGGTAAAGAAATAATTTCTTGCAAGGGCTAGCCTCAGGCCTCGGAAGTCCAATGTGAAGGGCATTGCTAAGTAGGGACTGGGGGCAGGCACGTCGATGACTAATCATCAGAGGTCTGATTTGGCCAGGACCAGAAAACTACAGAATAGGGGGTGTGAGCAACTCCTCCCCAGACTTTATTATAAGTCCTAGGGTGACAAGGTGAAGGAGGTGCCAGAGACAGAGAAGTAAAGTTCAAATGGACAGAGATTAGAAGCTAGAAAGAAATGAAACCTGAATAAATGGAAATTGTAGTATCTAGCTATAGAGAGATCTTAACTTTTGGATCAGAACCATCCAAACCAATGTCTGTACTTTTCTCAAAGATAAACTTCCATCCAAAAGCTTATCAAAGGAATTGCAATTTCATTTGGACTTACTGTTTCCAGAGGTCAAACATGACTCTGATATCCAATTCTCCAGCCATGGCTGCCTACTCTTTCAGTCTGCTCCAACCAGAGGGTCCCCCGTCTCTTTCTCCATGTCTCCCCCAGGTCCCCAGCTCGGCTGGCTGCAGTCTCACCCGCTGAGGTCAGGGAGCCAGGGAAGGTTTGCTGTGGGGGAAGGGAGTAAATGGCTGGCGGGAGTGCTGGACAGCTGAGCGGGGGAGGGAAGTGGCTACCGAGTTGACGGGTTTTAAAAATAGCGAAGTCCAAAATTCCAGGAACATTGGAGGGGGTAGGGTGTAGGAGTGGGGAGGGCGGAAAGATTAGAGAGAATATGGAGTGTAGGGTGCCAAGGGGGGAAGGTGGGAGAAATTCAACAGGAAAGTCACACACAGGGATCTAGCTTCTCTGGCTCCACAGTCATTCTCTGCTCCGGGCAGCTGTTGTGCGTTCTCAGGAGCGAGTCCCTGACCTTCAGTTACTGCGGTGCGCAGCTGGGTGCCTGTCATTCACTTCCCTTGTCTGTTCTCTATTGGATGGTACATATGATTTCCACACAGAGGATCTGGAAGGCCCGTGTGAAGAGCCATAGCAGAGCTGGTTCGTGGTCCCTCCCCGCATCTTTGCAGTGTTTTACATGGGCTGGAAAATCAGCTGCCAAGAGAAGAAATCTGAGCGCTGAGTTGTTTAGGGTGAGGGTTTGATCAGTCTACACAGTCAGATCCTTGCAGCTGTTGGTCCCTCTACCTCCCCCGTTTTTGTTCCCTTACTTTGCATAGTAATTTCCCTCTCTCCCTGTCCCCCTTCCCCCCCCCCCGCCGTCTCCCTGTCCCCCTGTACCTCTCTCTCCCTCTCTCCCCCCTCTCCCCCTCCCCCCTCCCCTTCTCCCCTCTCCTCCTCTCCCCCTCTCTCCCTCTCTCTCCCTGTCCCCCTGTCCCCCTCTCTCCCTCTCCCCTCTCCCCCCTCCCCTTCTCCCCTCTCCTCCTCTCTCCCTCTCTCTCCCTGTCCCCTCTCCCCCTCTCCCCTTCTCCCCTCTTCTCCTCTCCCCCTCTCTCTCCCTCTCCCCCTGTCCCCCTCTCCATCTCTGATACACAGACATGCAAGCTCCTGAGAAGGCTAACAAAGGAGGTGAAGAAGAGATGGAAGTTGGATTTTTTTGAACGTACTCACTCATATGGGAGAATAAATTAGATAAACTGATAGACAAATTTTGGAACATATTTCTGCGTGGTAACATAATGTTGCTACCTTCTATGAAATTGCAATCAAGGAATACCCAGGGTCATCATCTTTTAAAAAATATAGTTTAAATGTTTTTAAATCTATAAGGCAGAGAGACAGAAAATTTCGATCTACTGGTTTTCTCTCCAGATGTCCTTAGTAACCCTGGCCAAAGTTGGGAGCTGGAAATCCCACCAGGTCTCTCCTGTGGGCAGCAGTAACTTTATCTCTTAGCCGGCACCTGCTGCCTCCCGGATCTGCTGGAATAAGGAGCAGAGCTGAATATCAAACCCGGGCACTCTGCTATGGGATATGGGATATCTGATACAGGCATCTTCACCACAAAAGCAAATTCCTGACCTTCATCATCATCAATATTTGCCAAGGGAAGTTAACAGCAGGGCTGATTCCAAATAATGTCACTAAGGCATTTGTACCAATTTCCTTCACATTCGGAAGTGAGAGGTCCACTCAGTGTTCTCCTCATATTCGTATTTACATACAAGTACCATTATCATCTACCTGACAAATTTAGTTTTTCTCTGAGTCATGAGGCCATATTACAAGAAATTCCATTGCAAAAATCCAATATACCTTCAACCAAATTATTTAAGTTAAATAAAGGAAATGTTTCTCTTTACAAAGGTATTACAATAAATTAATGAAGAAAGAACAGCATAATTAGGATGCCAGCATTTTGTAACTTCTGATGAATTAAAGTGTCCAGGCAATGATCTTTAATAGTTGTAATCCATTACAAAAAGAAAGATAAATATTATGATTCTCTCATCAGAGGTGGAGCATACAACTTCATAAGGCAACTTGGCAAAAAAATAAAAATAAACAAAAACTTTAGTTTGAATCTGATTAACTATTGATCTGGATTTAGCTACAAATACTCAGGAAAACCAGAAGACATCAAAGAGCATCTCAGAGTTGTAAATTCAGACTGAGAATACTCTCCACCAAGAGCAACCTGGGTTCTTAAATGCATTTCAGAGAAAAGATGGAAAAGAACCTATAGATTAAAAGAGACTTAAGAAGCACCAGTCACAGAATATGGACTTTACTGGAGCCTACCTGAAAAAAACAAAATAAAACTATGAAACAACTGGGGAAATTTGAATGCTGATGAATACTTACTGGATATTTGCTGATTTACAAAAAGTATTGCTAATATTAATAGTGTGAAAATGGTACTTTTTAAAGGTTCATTGGAAAGTCAGATACACAGAGATGAAGTGAGACGGAGAGGAAGAACTTTCATCCACTGGTTCATTCCCCAAGTGGAAATGAGCTGATCCAAAGTCAGGAACCTCCTCCGGGTCTCCCACGAGGGTGCAGGGTCCTAAGACTTTGGGCCATTCTCGACTGCCTTCCCATGCCACAGGCAGGGAGCTGGAAGGGAGTGGAATAGCCAGGATCCAAACCGAATCAAGAGTGGTATGTGCAAGGTGAAGACTTTAGCCACTAGGCTACTATGCTGGGTCCAGTTCTTGTTCTTTAGAGACTCATCTTAAAAAGAAAAAACAAAAAAAGGAAAGAAAAGATGTTATTGGGGATTTGCTTTTGGATAACAGGTTGCAGAAGGTGGTGATATAATGCTGAAATAAAATTAAAACATGAAATTAATTATTGTTGAACCTGTGTGATAAATATACAGGGGTTCATTATAGCAGTTTTTCTATAAATGTTTGGAATTTTCCATAATAAAAATTTAAAGCCAGGAGCTATTTTTTGTTCCCTTGGAGATACAGAGGGTACTTCAAAAAATTCATGAGAAGAAAAAGAAAGATTATTTCAGTACCAAAAAAAAAAAAAAGGAAATCAGTGTAAAGTATTTTTACAGTGTATTTAATTATTTTTATTTATTGGAAAGAGGGAGGGACAGAGAGATAATGTGATTTTCCTCTGCCGGCTCAGTCCTCAGATGCTCACAGCAGCCAGGGCTGGGCCAGGCCAAGCTAAAATCAGGAGATTGGAATTCCATCTTGGTCACCCATGTTGGTGGTTAGGGCCCAGGCGCTTGAGCCTTCATTAGCTAGACTTTTTTCACAATGTCATTTTCCATGAACTTTTCAAAGACCCTTTATATGCAATAGAATATGTAAATATATTGATATATGTTTATATTTAATATTCTTTTAATATAACATATACTTACATAAATGTATATATACACACATGCATGTATTTTCTTTATATGGCCAGTTGGTAAGAGAGAAATCTGATCATCTTTGTCAAAGCCCATGTACCAAATACTACTGGAAACAAGCTGGTTGTCAAAGAAGAAGCTGGGTTTATTCGACTTGCTTTGGCAAGGGATTGAATGTCTGAACAGAATTTTCAAACAAATCAAAACTTCAAAGAATTCACTAAGAGCAAATAGATCCTCATCAAAACATTGGTACAGAAAGAATAATTTAGGGATCA